CAAAACTCTGCACCTTTGATTTTAACTCATGCCAGAGTGTCACTATAATAAACACATTTATGGAAAATGACAACCAAAGTGCATAACATTAAATCAGGAAACAAAGACATGAGAAAAGTCCAGAAAACAATTCATTAAGAAGAATAAAGAATTTCAATGCATTATATAGCAGCAATGAACATAAAAACAGAAACATTATCTATGACTCTGCAATTTTCTTGTATATTTATAGTTCTCCTGTTGGCAATTGGACATTTGTTTTAGAGGGGGTGCATTCTGGGCATTTAGCTACATGATAATCTTGAATGGTGCTTTAACTAATACCCCGTACAGACTACATATTTGATATAGAATTAAACTAGCGCGCGCTAGGCGTGCGCCAAATTTTTGCAGCGTGTACACGTTATCCCGCTCGAAATACGCGCTGGCCTGCTCCAATTTGGCCCCGCAAATGAAGACGGGGCAGGTCCGGGATAAGCACCAAGCTGTGTTTGTATGCAAGACGCAAGCCAGACCCGGTGCTAAATCACAATACGCATGTGCATAGCTTTATTTAGGTTACGTAATTCTACGCTCGCTGTATCTCGCTGTCTGCGGGGTGACGTGGCGAGCTGAACGGAGAACTGATGACTCATTTAATGAAGGATCAAATATGCAGTCTATACGCAACGATTTGGCGCTAGCCAGGCACGTGTCAGGCATGCGCCCGTTTAATACCATATCAAATTTTGCAGTCTGAACGGGGTATAAGGCAGTATAAACTAATGCATGGCTAAAACTAATGCAGGTTACCGAAATGTTCCGTGCAGTTCAAATCAGCCCATTTCACAAGGGTTTCATAAAAAAATGTGTCTGAATCCTCACGATTTCCTATACGATGAACAACATCGATGCTGACTTTAGATAGCTGCTCAGAAAATGACTGAAACTGTATAGAAAATAGAATATTACATTATTAATGACCATAGAAAAACAGTGGCAAATCATACTACATGCGAGAAAAACTGAACACATGAGATAACTGTGATGTATCCGCATTATTATGTAACAGCCTGTAATGTAACCTTATTTGTTATGCGCGCATGCGCAGTAGAAATATATTGTTGAGTATGGCAACCATGTTTCTTTGTCTGGGTTAATGACCTCCGCGAGGAATATGCAACAATGGCGACGAATGGATGGGATTCAACGTCAAACAAAGACGTGTAGATGAAGAGGAGAATCCGTAGGTAATCTAAATCGATGTGAAGAACTAGATACCATTACGGTTGCCACGAAATTGCCGGCCTTGGACTGTTACGGTTTTGTGCCTGCACTGAAGTTTCGAGTCGGACTGTACTGCCAGAAATTATTGATTGCCGTCGACGGAACCAGCAGTTTGTGTAGCCTGTGTACGTACTGTGTAGTGTGCCTCCAGATACAGCACCACCACCACCGCCTGCCAGGATGAATGCGATGATAGGAAATGTGGGTGAGTTCGACCCTAAACGTGAAAAATGGTCAAACTATAAAAATAGGCTTGAACTATGGATGAAGACCAATAAGATAGAAACTGATCTGAAAGCAGCTACTCTGTTAACGATAGTAGGTCCGGACATATTCGAGACAGTTTCAAGTTTGGTGTTTCCGAACGATGTCATGACGCGCACCTACGAGGAATTAGTTGCCGCTCTAGAAGGACATTTCGCGATCACAGTAACGCCACTAGCCGCAAGGCTGAAGTTTACGTCGCGTAAACAGAAGGAGACTGAATCACTGTCCGATTTCATCGCTGATTTGAAACGTTTGACAGTCGATTGCAAGTACACGGCAGAAGATAAAGTAGAGGAACGTCTACTAGAGACTTTGTGTCACGGTGTTAGGAACGGGAAGATTACGAAGCGACTACTTGATGAATCAGTAAAAGGTGATCTTACGTGGAAATCGGCATGCAGAAAGGCTCTTGACATGGAGATGGTCGATAAGGATTTAAAGGGGTACTCCACCGAACATGACGTTAATCGTGTCAAACCAGGAAAGTACAGTAAACAACAGAGGAGCAAGGAATCGCAACCTCCATCTCGACCCATGGCTACTGGCAGATGTACGCGATGCCATGGCGAGCATGACGCGAAAGACTGTTTCTACAAACACCAGACGTGCCACACATGTGGCAAGATAGGACACCTGTCTCGTGCATGTCACAGTAAGGAGTCTACAGGAACGTCACATGGTCGTGGGAATTTCCGGGGACGCGGAAACTTTCGGGGACGTGGATCGTTCTACTCACGAGGTCGTGCAAAGTATGCACATTATGTTGGTCACACGGATCAATCCGATATCGAGCGAGTTAACGAGGATTCGCTACAGGCTATATATCACACAGATGTAGGAAATATAAATAGTAAAGTCGATGAATACAAGGTGAGACTCAACGTTAATGGTGTAGATGTCAGGTTCACGCTGGATACCGCAGCGTCAGTCACAATAATAGGTGAGAATACCTACTACAGGCACTTCAGTTCACTGAAATACACAGCGTCAGATGCAAATCTGGTCAGTTATAGTGGTCAACGAATCGAAGTGCTTGGAGAGATCAAGGTTTTCGTGAAGTACAAAAACGCAGAGAAAATGTTGCGCTTGATTATTGCGAAGGGAAACAAAGTGTCTCTGCTTGGTAGAGATTGGTTGAGTGAGATCAAGTTAGAGTGGTCTGAAATCTTCACTATTGGTTCCAACCGAAATCGCACTGTCGAGAAGTTAGTTGAGCAATATCACGAGGTATTTGAAGGACAGGGTACGATCAAAGGGTTCAAGGCAGAAATCCAGGTCAAAGACGGCACCAAACCGGTTTTCCACAAACCTAGGCCAGTGCCGTACGCGTTGCGCGATTCTGTAGAGAAGGAGTTAGATAGACTTGAAAAATCCGGTGATGTGGAAAAAGTGGATCGAAGTGATTGGGCTTCACCAATCGTGGTTGTGCCCAAGGCAGACAAAAGTGTCCGTATCTGTGGAGACTACAAGATCTCAGTCAATCTCCACATTGTGGATAAACCGTATCCACTGCCCACTGCTAAGAATATTTTCGCTAAGTTAGCTGGGAAAAAAAGGGTTCACTGTCTTGGACTTGAGTCATGCATATTCACAACTCGAAGTTAAAGAAAACTCGCGCAGTTCTTTGACTGTAAACACTCATAGAGTTCTATACCGCCACTGCAAACTTCCATAAGGGATCAAAACAGCGCCGCACATATTTCAGAAAGTGATTGATCAGGTGTTGGTTGGATTTGAACGAGGATGTGGCCAGTTTTCAAGATGATATCATCATTGCTAAAGATGATGATCACGAATACTTGAAGTCACTTGATTTGGTACTGGAGAGACTAGCCAAGTACGGTATCAAACTCAAACGTGTCAAATGTCGGTTCAACATGACTTGGGTCGAATATCTGGGTCATAGGATTGATGCCGAGGGAATTCATCCGACACAGGACAAGGTTGACGCGATTGTGTGAATTGCTAGTGGACTTGAGACTATGAAGCGACTTCAGAGTCTGTTAGGTTAATAAACCACTACGGGAAGTTTCTGCGTAATCTGTCACAAATTGAACGTTACACCGTTTATTGCGTTCAGAGTCGAAATGGTCTGGTCTAGTGGCTGTCAGAGTGTCTTGATGAAGTGAAGAAGGAACTATCTATAACAAGTACTTGCTCCATGATCCTAAGCTGAAACTGAGTTTAGCTTCTGATGCTCCCTTACGCGGTGGAGCGGTCTTGTACGAGACTAGTAACAGATGGGATGGACGTCTTGTTTGCATTTGCGTCGAGGTGTCACTGACTACAACGGAATCGCAATATTCTCAGATTTGAACGTAGAAGCAGCCGGGAATCGTGGTTTGGTAGTGAGAAATTCCAGAAATATCATGTACGGTTCGAAAGTTCAACTCGATCACCGATTGGCGAGCACTGACTGCATCTTTGTCCAAAAGAAGGGTATACGTGCTCTTGGCACTCAGACTTAACGATGGAGTTTGATTATTATGGCGTTGATGACTATGAATCGTTTTACCGTTGCACCTCAGATCATGGAAACGATGATTTCTGTTCGGAGGATGCCGACTATAGTATAAGGACACTGTCCCCTTGGTGCAGAAGCAACAGTAAACTATTCGTCATGTGAATGATCTTTGTTCATGCAGAAGACATTGGTCAGGCAGGGACTAAGAAGGTCTGTTCTTTCGATGATCTATATGTTTTGCGCAGAGCTGGCTGGTCTGACGCTACGAGGCTGAGAAGTCGGTAGGATGATTAAACATACTTCAGATTGCGGTAATGAGATTGTTCCTGTGACCAAGGTTGTCTATTGTGGGTATTATGAGAGTTATAATCCACCGCAATTCGTTGTAACATTAGTTCGAGAATGCCCATCATTAGTATTGGCATTGTCAGAACAGGCCTTTGCTAGGAGTTTCTTTTGCGTTTCTATAGCTTGATGGAAAGTCGTGGGGACATGGTGAAGAGCTGTAGTGTTTGTCAGACGCTGAAGGCAGATCGCCTCTGTTGCTCTGGTATCCATGGCGATACAATGCAAACCTGGTCCAGATTACATGTGACTTTAAGAAGTACCGTCAGAACACTATCAGTTGTAGGTGGATTAGTTATCTCAAAGCGGCATGAAGTTGGTGAAGAGAAACACTTACGCAGAAAAGACTATAAAGGCATTTCCGGGATTTCTGCAGTTAAGGATACCTGAGAGCTCGTTACGGACAATCGTCAGCCTATACACCTGAGGAATTTGAGAGTTCTGTGCTAGATGGCATCGTAGCACATTTGTTGCCACCTATACACCCGCTACTAATGGGAGCGGGAGACGCTGTGAAAACTTGAAAAATCGCGTGAAGAGGGCATTTTTGGACGATAACAGAGTTGGAGTGTCGCATGGGTCATAGTTAGGCTAATTCCTGCCTTACTTACAGTATGCAGCCTCATGCCTGTTCTGGTGTACACCCGCTAAAATCTTGAACAAACGCAAATTCGTAACGTTTTGGGATCTTCTTAAGACCTGATCATGCGGTAAATCAGTCGGAAGAATCAACAGAAACAGAAGAACATTCATGATGTTCGAATTCATTTCGTGTGACTGAGAAGAGTGAGAGTGTCAGAGATTGAAAATTCCAGGAGACAATAGGAGGCTGAATTTGTAATTGGCGACATTTTTAACGGCTGCGGTGCCGCTGCGTATTGGTTGATGTTGCTGGTNTCAGAAACACTATCTAGTTGTAGTGGATAGTTACTCAAAGTGGCCAGAAGTGGTGAAGATGAACACCACTACCGCAGAAAAGACTATAAAGGCATTCCGGAGCAATGGTCCGCCCTCTACACCTGAGGAATTTGAGAGATTCTGTGCTAGCAATGGCATCGAGCACATTCTGTCTCCACCATACCACCCCGCTACAAATGGGCAAGCGGAGAACGCTGTAAAAACTGTGAAAAATGCGCTGAAAAAGCATTTTCTGGACGATAAACAGAGTGGATTGTCTGATGGTCATAAGTTAGCTAACTTCCTGCTTACTTACAGATGCACGCAACATCCTGTCACTGGTGTCACACCCGCTAAACTCTTGAACAAACGCAAACTTCGTACACGTTGGGATCTTCTGAGACCTGATATGCGTAAATCAGTCGAGAAGAAACAACAGAAACAGAAGGAACATCATGATGTTCGAATTCACTTTCGTGACTGAGAAGAATGAGAGTGTCGGAGTGAAAAATTCCAGAGACAATAAGGAGGTGAAATTTGTTCTGGGGACAATTCTCTAACGGCTGGGTCCGCTGCGCTATTTGGTTGATGTTGCTGGTAAAGCCAGATTTGTTCATGCAGACCATATGCGTAAGACGAGTGAGGGAGAGAGTAATGACTCTCGTCAAGTGCCGAACTTTCATGATTATGATCGCTATCAAGTTTTGTCTGACTTAGCTACTTCTGAGGGACTGAACGATTCCAGTTCTCAAGAGACTGTAGAGACATTCAATTCTGCTGCTGTGGTTCCACCGCCAGAACCACAGACTCCCAAACCTAAGGCTGTTACCGCTAAGCCTGTCGAGAACAGAGACATTGGGACTATGAGAGACTCGCATCCCGATGCATCTAACACACCTGTTAGACGCTATCCTGTGAGGGACAGAAAGCCCTCTGTGGAACTCAAGGACTATGTTACTGTGCATTCTGTCTAAGATTGGGTCTGTTTTTGAAATAGACTATAGTGCTTGGATGCACTGTTGACATTTGTGAAAATGTGGTAAAACTGATGTGGAATTGACATCAATCAGGGTCAATATTCTGTTCTGTCAATTCAATCATTCTATGTTTGCCCTTTGTTTATGCATACTAACTAGTACAAGTAAACCTGTTAAAATTTGATTTTGTTACAGTCCATTTCACAACATGTTGGAATGAGTGTGTACATGTAATTCTAATCCCTGAGTCAATTATCTTTGAATATTCCTAGTATACACTAAGTTACAAGTTCTGGTTGAGAGATTATATATTCCATGGTGGTTAGTAGCTTGGTTAAAGTTGAAGTAACAATTGGTTGAATAACTTCTACTGTATTTTGAAGTTGTGTGATTTTACTTGAGATTGAGTTTAGTTGTTGAAACTAGAGAAAACACAAAATTGCCATTTGGGATATTATTTGGTTGATGGGTTAGGAGAACTAACTATTTAGTGTGGGGGACTGTGATGTATCCGTATTATTATGTAACAGCCTGTAATGTAACCTTATTTGTTATGCGNTCTTCGCGTGCGGTCGTAGCGAGAGAGCATGACTGTGCAAGCCCCGCACCCGCCTTCGCCACATCCAACTTAGAACCAGTCAGCCTCACTGGACGACAAGTTAGGGACCGATACATTTGATGAATTTGATGAATGAATCGATCAACTAATAACATAATAATAATAATAATAATAATAATAATAATAATAATAATAATAATAATAATAAATAATCATAATAATAATATAATAATAATATATTTGTCCTGGGTATGACTTAAAACTGCATCCGGTTGTGAGTTTCAACGTGGGAGAATGAGGTTACCCTTTGCCACAACTACCTCCAGGTCACCCTTGAGCAAGGTGTAGCACCTGTTAGCTCTCCCCGAGACCTTGAAGTATCGGGTTGGCGTCCGACGGGGGCAAGTCTGTCTCATGGTAGGAGGACTCTTAGCCTTGAATGGCAACCCCTAGAGATGGTGTCTCGATAAAAATACCGCTCTCGATCTGGAGTAGCAAACTCCCGATAACTGTGACATATGGTCCACGGACGTATGGACGTGCCCTGATGTCCAGGAAAGTTTGCCCTAACATGGGTTAAATAGTAAATATCATACCATAATAAATAAGCCAATACGAAAGTCATACCGCATCGCTCGTCGCGCGGTCAACAAGAGCGCGTCCCTCATGTCGACACGACACGAGGCGCACGAGATCAGTCACCGCATCAGTGCAGAACAACAGAATAACAAATAACCAAAGAAAAACAAGAAACAGTGGACAAGGATCAATACAAGGATGTGATGTGGTCCTATTATTAGCCCAAGAGAACAACACTGATGGCGGGGTAGTAAAAGGTACATACACGATCTGGCGAGGCAGGAATCCAAACATTCTTTCCAGCCACCAATTCAAATATCTCTTGCTAATACCAGGAGGTGGATTATTAAGAACAAGAGCTCACCGATACTGAACTTGAACAGATAGTGGCAGCTTGCGAAAGCAAAATAATGCATCGCAACCACACTTATCCCCACTAAGCACCTGAAGACCTACAATCCCCAGAGCCCGAGGCTGAAACAAACACCGCAGCATACGGATACCAATGAAGCTGAATCAGTAGTGGATATGGAAGATCGAATCTCTACTAAGCTGCTTGAAACTCAGGCAATCCCCTGGATCAACGCAGAAGCCTGAAAAAGATTCATCTCAACAAGGCAATACGGCACGATATTCAAGCTGCAAATCAGGCCCTCACCAATATCATCAAAGATAACCATCCAAAACTTATCAGAAATAATGAATTAATGTACGCGACTGCTGCTGTTATTGCTGGAGAGACAAAAGAGAGAGTCACGAAGCCCACAGTGGAACCAACATGGAAGAGAGAATCAGAACAAAATTGAAAACCATCGCAGACCTCTCCATCCTTAGCGAAATAAAAAGGTGTCACAACAAAACAAGTACATGCCAAGGCCAGGAGCATCTTATGCAAGAGCCGTATGAAGAATACGACCGTATGCGAGCTCGAACAAGAAATAAAGATAAAGCTACAGGCCAAAGCTCAGAGGTTGAGAAGGTTTACTAAGCGGAGTGAGCACTACTATCAGAATAAGCTCTTCCATGAAGATGCCAAAAAATTCTACCGGCATCTCAACGAGCAGCAAAGCACCATCAAGGAGCCTCCCTCTAAAGAGCGACTCGATCAATTCTGGCGTGGAATACTGGAGGTTGGCACAGACCACAATACCAAAAAGCCACTGGATCAAACAAGAGGAGGAAGCATTCCAAAATGTAGCAATGATGCATGGCTGACATTACAATGTGTGAAGTACAGCAGGCCATCAAGCGGACACACAACTGGAAGTCTCCTGGCCCAGACAAGCTGCACAACTTCTGGATTAAGCATTTAAGTGCCCTCCATAAACAACTAACAGGGCCTTGAATGACACCATCAAGGATCCAAGCAATAGCCCTAAGTGGTTGACATCAGGAATCACTTTCCGTCTTTCAAAAGGCAGGATACAAAAGAACCTAAAAACTATCGACCAATCACTTGCCTGCCTACCACCTACAAGATTCTCACTGCTGCAATCAGCAACCCGCTCTACAATCACTTACAGAAGAGCGACATTCTCACAGATGAGCAGAAAGGCTGTAGAAGAGCGTCTAGAGGGTGCAAAGACCAACTTCTCATTAGTAACATGATTGTGAGCATGGCAAAAAAGCTCAAGAGGAACCTAGGAATGGCGTGGATTGATTATATAAGAAAGCCTTCGACAGTGTCCCAATTCCTGTATTCTCGCAAGCCATGAGAATCATCCGTGTGTCACCACCATCATTCAGTTCATGGAAGCTACAATGAAGAAATGGAAGACTGAAATGCTCCTCTTCACTCAAGAGGGCTGCCTCAGGAACAGAAGATATCTCAATCAAGAGAGGAATCTTCTAGGGAGACTCGCTCTCTCTCCTACTATTCTGCTTAGCACTAACACCGCTTACTAATTACATGCTGAATAGACAGGGCCTGGGATTTACAGTCGATAAACACAATACCATCAGCCACCTGCTCTACATGGATGACCTTAAACTGTTCACCAAGAACGAATATGATTTGAGCAGGCCTTGGTAACAGTCAAAGCATTCAGTGATGACATCAAAATGAGTTTGGCTTGGAAAAGTGTGCAACCGCAATCTTAAAAGGTGGTAAGCTAGTAAAAAGTCGAAATATTGAGCTTGATGACAAGACAGCCCTACAAAGTCTAAACCACGAGGACACTACAAATATCTTGGTGTAGACGAAAGTGATGGTATTCAGCTTGCAAAGAAGGAGAACATTGCTAAGGAAGTACTATCGCCGAGTTCGCCTAGTTCTAAGTCTGAGCTCTGCTCAAAAAACAAGATAACAGCGATCAATAGCCTGGACTCCCAGTCCCCGTGTACAGCTTCGGGGTGATCAACTGGCTGCGATCAGATATCGAAAGGATGGATCGCAGAGAAGAAGCTACTAACCATGCACGGTCTCCATCACCCAAAAGCAGATGTAGAGCGACTGTACATCAAGAGGCAAAATGGTGGTCGTGGTCTCATTTGAACAGATGTTTGCGTACAAACACTGGCCATTGTAGGTTAGGCGACTACATCGAGCTTAAGGAAGACAAATTACAAAGCTTATAACAAATTCATCAGTCTGGAATATCAAAGCGACGCTCTTTACGCGAGGCTAAAGAAATCAAAGCGCTAAGTACTTGTCTCTCAGCCCGCCAGCCAATCCTCAACAAAGGCAGAGACTGAAGACCAATATAGAAGCAGAAAGATCGAGGGTATTGAAGAACAAGCCTTTGCATGAGATTCTACAAGAGCCTTGACAGGCCATTTGTCGACAAGACTGGCAAGCGTTGCCTGGCTCAGTAGTTCCGGGCTCAAAGGGGAACAGAAAGCCTGATCATTGACAGCTAGCAGGACCAAAGCTCTCAACACCTAGATACCATCAACGAAATATCATCAAGCAACAGGTCAACAGCAAGTGCAGAATGTGCAGCAAAGCAGAGGAGACTATTCAGCCACATCATCTCCGGATGCACAGTGTGGCCCCATAGAGTACATAAATCGCCATAACAAGGTAGCCAGCTATCTGCACTGGTCAATCTGCAGTGAATTTGGTGCAAGTACCTGACAAGTGGTATGAACATACTCCGAGACCAGTTACCAACATCGGAGATAAAACCATATGTGGGATATGGCGGTGGCAGACAGATCGCATGATGACCTGCAAACCGCCCTGATATAGTGCTCCACAACAGGAAAGAAAAACGATGCCTGTTGATTGACGTAGCCGTACCAGATGACTCTAACATTATGGTGAAGGAAAGGGACAAACTCACCAGTACAAAAGATCTGGAGATTGAAATTAGGAGGATGTGGAAATACAAAGACGAGAATTGTACCAGTGGTGGTTTGGAGCCCTTGGCTCTCTAAAGAATGGTTTTGAGAAGAACCTTAAAGAACTCCTGGCCAACACACTGCCCAAGAAGTGCAGAAAAATCGCACTACTGGGAACAGCACACATCTCTGCGAAAAATTCTGGATTGAATACCTATGTCCAGGTGGGACACGGTCAACCCAGAAGCCACCGGCTAATGCCGTGATCCACTTTGGAAATAATAATAATAAATAATCATAATAAATAATAATAATTTTTCAATTATTATTATTATTGTTATTATTATCATTTTGATCATCATCATCATGATTATTATTACAGATATAATACGCCATATCACTATGAAGAGAATGGATGAAGAATGTAGATTTTATGCAGAATTTCAATTCAGAATTTATTCATACATTGCTATAGATGGCCTAAGTTAGTTAAGTAGTTACAGGCCCATAACTTATAGGCCTAATATAGCCCATAACTCATCGCCTCCTGCGGTAGGTAGGTCCCTATAAGGACAACGGTATAATAAGCACCAAGAGCTAATAAACACCTATTTATTAGCTATTATTTATTAGGTATTTATTAGCTATTATTTATTAGCTATTGTAAGCACCATGGACCTTGTTCTTCTGCGTAATATAGATAAGTTGCAGACTGCAGTCGCCAAAAGCAGATACGCAAACGACATACAGCTATAGCGTTTAAGTTTGGCGCATAAGGTGCAAATATATAAACAGAGCGCGAAGAGGATACGTTGAAGTCTTAAGTACTGGAGCAGAGATGCCGCCGGATCAACGTCTCCATCGACTACCTGCAAAAGCACGCACGCACAGAGTCGCTAATATAATTTGATGCGTTTACATAGTGAAATGCAACGTAGCGGTCACGTTCGGTGACGAAAATTGTGACAACGTAGAGTTTCTGCCTCAATAAAGCTCCTAGTAATAAGAAGATATAGTGTTAAATGCACTTCGGTATTTGCACTTTGGTTTTTGTTCGTTACGATCGTTATCGTTATCAAAATCAGATCTAATATCTTTATCATTTAACAGTCCCGGAAGCAATATACACGCTGTTATCATACCAGATACCGATATTATCCTGACGGACATTATTCCGATGTCTCTGTTTGCTCGACTAGGCGCGCGCTCCTAATCTGTTACAGCATCGAACATTACAGCGTCAACGCCTGCCTCACGCCCGTCTGCGCCGTACACGGCATGGCCGTCACCACAGTCGAGGGAATCGGTAGCACCAAGACCAGACTGCACCCAGTGCAGGTATAACAGGAGGCGACGCTAGCTTACAGAGCAAGCGATTACAGAGTTCGCGATGATCAAAAGACGCAAAGGAGAACGAAACCATGTACTTCGTATTTTCGTACGCGCGAACGCCTTTATCCGTCCTAATATAACTATAAGAGAGAATCGCAAAGGAGTATCGATCTATACGTCGTATTTCTGCAGGGTGTGATGCGTGTCTCTATGGGTTCTCTTTCAGGAGAGGATCGCAAAGGCTCACGGCACGCAGTGCGGGTTCTGCACACCCGGAATCGTCATGTCTATGTACGCGCTCCTTAGGAACAACCAGCAACCGGTTATGCACGACCTGGAGAAAGTGTTTCAAGGTCACGCATATACTGAACATACCTATAATAAATGAAGTGCCAGCTTGCCATATATATTTTTTTAACAACAACCGTCAAGTTCCCAGCAAACCCTCCGAATACTGTCCTCTTTTCTGTCCCACTTCATAAATTATGAAGTCTATTTCGTCTGTTCTTCCGCCTCTTTTCTTTAGTTGCCGTGTATAGTATTCTTTAGTTTGAGTGCTGCTTTGGGGTTTTAAAAAGCCAACATTAATTACTAATCCGAGATTTATACGTACTTGTGCGTACGCATTTCTTCTTGAATCCGGCCCCTGGTGAAAGCTACGGACACCTCCCCAGAAAATGCACATAAGCACGGGTAAGCACAAAGTTTTGCATGCACCTGGTTCACGGACCATCTGAAGCCCATCCACGTACCCCAAAGGGGTCCATGGACCACAGGTTAAAAACCAAAAAACTCTGTTGTATAAATATAAACATTGCAAACATTGTAAAATGTTCATACATTGCATAGATATGTTTACATGTAGTTAGGGTAATATACATTATTTACTTATGTAACTTTGTACACGTACACTAATTTCATACACACGCACGCACGCACGCACGCACACACACACACACACACTAACATACGCGACACACGCACTTAGCACAACACAACACGCACGCACACACGCTCGCTTGCACCGCATATATATATATATATTTATATATCAAATAGGGAACCTATGTCGCTGCACGGGATATAGGCCGATACTGGAGGGCTACCGGTCATTCACCACTAGCATGCAGCAAAATGCATGCTGCTCGACGATGGGCGATAGATGCTGCATGGTAAACAAAGAAGTCCAGCAGGTAACTGCAAGTGGGCCCGAGTCCCAGATGACGAATCGTTGTAAGACTGGCGGCAGCGGCACATCCGATGGTCCAGACTTCGCGGAAGACAAGAAACGCGTCAACGACTTCAACCAGAATCGTAGGAAGAATCACCAACTTAGCACACAACCGTTTACAGGCTCAGAATGCATGCCGTACGATCCCACGCAGGAACCAATATTTCCAGCAGAGTTACAGGTATACACCACGATAGAATGCCAATTACATTTTTTACACCTTTACGGCGTATTTTACATTTCAGAAGCTATATTTAAATTCATAACAGTAAGCATTAAAATGTTTGCCCAGATATATTTAACGAATTGAGACAGATTTATTATTTTCTAACAAAATGTATAATCAATATGTAATTTGAAACAATCAGGAGGAATTTCTTCCAATAACTTAATGTATTAATGGGGTTAAATGCATTAAAATCTTACAGCTCTCAGAGGACTTCGACAAAGAATTACTAATGTTTAAAAAAGACCAAGTGACGTGGTTCAGGCCTGTTTGCTTACAACAGCTCCTCGAATTGAAGCTGGAACATTCCGAAGGAAAAATTGTCGTTGGGAACACGGAAGTCGGTACGAAAGACACGCGCGCGAACAACAAGAAACCGAATGGTTTCAGTTATCACAAAGCAAACAGTACAGAATGACACAACCCTCTTCACTATCATTGCTATTCTTCATCATGCAGGTGTCTCGCGTTCTTCCTCTTGAATCCATTCGACACGCGCAAATCCCCCTACATATTGACAATTATTGTCTACAGGTGTTGAGAATCATGAAGTTCAAAGACAGTAAATACCCCTGTGACACATTAACAATTGCTTACAGGTGTTGAGATGAAGTTCAAAGACTGTAAATATCCCGTGCTCATATCGGCCGCCTACATTCCCGAACTGACCACTGTCCAGCATAGCGATCAGGGAATAACGTTCGGCGCATCCACCACTTTGTCGCGCCTAGAAGAGGAGCTGCTAGCGGCCACGAAGATATTACCAGGTAGATTTTACCTGGTACCCCGTAGTTTTACATGGTACCTCGTAGTTTTTACCTGGTACCTCGTAGTTTTTACCTGGTACCTCGTAGTTTTTACCTGGTACCTCGTAGTTTTTACCTGGACCTCGTAGTTTTTACCTGGTACCTCGTAGTTTTTACCTGGACCTCGTAGTTTTTACCTGGTACCTCGTAGTTTTTACCTGACACCTCGTAGTTTTTACCTGGTACCTCGTAGTTTTTACCAAGTACACTTTTTGAGATATCGGACGCATTGTGTAGCATACCAGGTTGTTTTACGAGGATGCCATTTTCAAGGTAGCCGGTACGTTTGGCAGGTACTTTTTACAAACAAGCAGGTAATTTTACCAGTTGTCTGGTACCTTTAATCAAGTAATTTTACGAGATATCACTGGGTACCACGGCTACGGCGTACATTATTGTACTCTCGGAAGCCGCCAACGTATTCGTATTCAGCTTTGAATTACGCGTGGTATATAAACAACACGTTATATTTCTTCGTACAGCTCATAAAACTAGAGTGTTTGCTGCCGTTCTGGAGATGCTGCATCAATTCGCGGGATGCCAAATTAGGAATGTAGGGGTGAGTGAATCGGGATCTCTGGCTGCAATGCGGTGTATGCTGTAGATAGTTTTGTGAATCTCAGTTAAGTGTACGTATGTCTATTGTTAGTACCAAACATTGTTATACATTCTATATAGTCCTAGCGTTGAACTAAATAGTTTCTAAACGAATACATTGCAACATATTATTTTCATCACTTGAATTCAAAAAGATGCGTATCCTATTTAGATCGTAATTATACCGTAAATATTGGGTTCGCTTGTAGAAATTCCACGAAGAACTAATGCATATGATGTCGAAATTGTAACAATATCGAAGAGAATTATCATGAGAATTAAAGCACGTATTCCATGCCTGTTGAAACCGTACCTTGCAGGATATATATGTATATATATATATATTATAATAAAAACAACTGGAGACATAGTTGCACAAACGATATATATATATATATATAGGAGAGAGAGGATAGAGAGAGAGAGGAGAGAGAGAGAAAGAGAGAAAGAGGAGAGAGGAGAGAGAGAGGAGAGAGCGGAGAGAGAGAGTGAGAGCGAGAGAGAAAGAGAAGAAATGAAATAGGCCTATAGCCATATGCTACAACAACTATTTTGCACATTTTGGAATACGCCTTGGATGTACCTCATAATCTATGATCGGCCTTTCAATTTACCATTCAACACGTGCATCGTCATTGCTTGCAGTGTGTCGGTGGTAATATTATGACAGCAAGTCCTATCTCAGACCTTAACCCGGTGTGGCAGGCGGCTGGATGCTCCCTGGAGGTCACGTCATTGCAAGGTGCTTGCTTTATTATCATCTATAACTTGCTGTAACTATTGCTGTAACTTACTGTAAGTATCGCTATTACTTGCTGTAACTATCGCTGTAACTTGCTGTGACTATTGCTGTAACCTGGCTGGTATGCAGTAGCGCGCTGTGTTGTTTACGCTTTATAACCCGCGTCGTATTATATATTACTTGCGGCTGTACAATAATATAGTATTAATAAAAAATTTAGATAATAATAAAAGTATACGATAGTCGTAATAAACGTTAAAGTTTGTTCGTAAAAAGTATTATATAAACTTTACTATTATACTTTGCTATTACTACTTTACAATAACAATGATGCAGGATTGCCACAATATTACAGGTGGGAAACGGCGAATTCAAATTGATGAGAAATTCTTTCCTGGTACAGAAGGACGGTTCTTGAGAAACACGAGATACTTTTGTCCCTTCTCGTACCATATACAGCGCAGGTATTTTACACAAACACACACACGCACACGTACACGTACATGCACAGGTACACGTATGCACAGACACACATGTACACGCACGTAAACACGCGCGCGCACGCATACATGCGCGCGCGCACGCACACACACACACACACACGCGCGCACACACACATGCACACTTACACGCGCGCGCGTGCTATAATAAATGTAAACTCACACTGCACCCGGCAATGCATCGACAACTACTCGATATTAAACCCCCATCTAAAATAATATTAAGCTTTCTATATTTAACCGAGTTCCTTAAATACTTCTTACCGGTACGTAAAACGACAATGAAACGAACACGGGTTTTCGGTAGATAATCCAGTCATCATAGGGCACGCGTACCTCATGTGTACAGTAACTCAATTACAATAACATGCTAAATATAACGTATCATACTACAACGACGTTTTAGAAATTATTCCCTCCCTGCAGAATGAGTATTTCCACGCATTCAAACAAGCGAAGAGAAGGGACGACGATATTGCAATCGTCAATGCCGCAATGCGCGTGGAATTTCAACAAGCAACTAACATCGTCAGCCATCTTAGTTTAAGTTTCGGAGGAATGGCCCCTACCACTGTGATGGCACAGAAAACAATGAAATCCCTTGATGGCAGGTATGTCCGACTCCGTGTGCAGTAATTTGCGCTCCTACATAATATTAAGAGCGTATTAAGTATACTTAATTAATTAATTAATAGTACGCTCTTGATAATATTGTTTCAAGTCGGGATTCAACTGTTTCAATTGGATAGTGTGAGAAGCATGTAAGAAGACCCTAAAGGCTTACTCGACATTCTAAATTCAGAATTCAAAGAGCTTTCCGGACCTTCGTATGCATAACCCGTCCATGTCTTGAGGCTTGAGCTAATGTAGAGACGTAGTTAATTGGTTAATTAGTAAATTAGTAGTTAGCTAATCAAACAGTTAGTGCGGATGGCCGGCTTCAAAAATAGTCAGTCATTCAACAAAGTGCCGCATGGCCGACATTTTGTCATATACGCGTGAAAGACACGTACATACCAGTCTAGCTTCACCGCCTAACAACAGTATCTAAAGGCGGGCTGATGTCGGGCTTGCGAGCCGACTCGACCGGAAGCAACTGGAAGCGATCGGCAGCGACTAGTTGCCCACTGTTCTATTCCGAGCAACTAGTGGCGGCCAGTCGCAGGCAGTCGCGTCGCAGTCGACCAACCTAAGCACTGCAGTCGCAGCCAGTTGCTTCCAGTCGAGTCGGCTCGCAAGCCCGACATAAGCCCGCCTTAAAGCCAAACGCACACACCCGAGCAAAACACCGGAACTTGGAGCAAAACATGTTTCGCTTGATGTTCGTGGCTGTGTGCAGATTCCCGAAACAAGAAACATTGCTCAACTAAGCGTGTTTCGCTGAACAAGCAATGTTTGATTCGCGGAGCGTGTTTTCGCGTGAGCGTATTTTTGCTCGGGTGTGTGCGTCAATTGTTCTGCTACACAGCGAAACGCCACAGACGGTCTCCAATCAATATCCTTAAAAATATCACATGACACACAAAATTGGATTTCATTTGATGGCTATTTTTGATGTCATGTGACAGCGGCGCTGTACGCAGTGTTTCTGTATGTTTTGCTCAGCTGTGTGCTGTGTCGGGTGGCGTGTGTGCGCTTGCTCGCCGAGCAGAACGCGAAACGCTGGAAAACAAAATTTCGCGTTTTGCTCGGGTGTGTGCGTTGTGCTTAAGGGGACGCTGTTATCCCGATCAAACATATAGATCGTATTGTCTAACAACCTTTCAACGAGTTGGTTACACGTCATAATCATTACAATACATTCCATTCCATTCCATTACATTATATCACATTACATCACATTATATTACATTACATCACATCACATTACATTATATTACATTACATCACATCACATTACATTATATTACATTACATCACATCATATTACATTACATTACATCACAATACATTAATCACATTACATTACATTACATTACATTACATTACATTACATTACATTACATTACATTACATTACATTACATTACATTACATTACATTACATTACATTACATTACATTACATTACATTACATTACATTACATTACATTACAATACATTACATTGAGTTACCTTGCTTGCATAGGGCATGGAACGCAGGCTTAGTAGATGACGGGATAAAATTGCTAGCAGAAGATTTGCCGATGGAGGCGGGAGCTCCGGGTGGGATGGTCGAATACAGACGGTCCCTGGCCCTCGGCTTCTTTTTCAAGTTTTTCATCATGGTGGACCAAGCGTTGCAAAAACACGCGGTGAGAAACACGATGCAACTAAACTAAACTAAACTAGGAAAATTAATTCAATTAAGCTATTGTTAAACAGACTTCAACTTCACAAATTGTATGGTTTCAATTGTGTTAGTGTGCTCAAAACAATATTTGTGCTCAAACTATCGTTGCAAAAATCATAATGGGAGGTTTTCTTATAGCGACGCGCGTATATAACTAACGCATAACGTTGTTTCATTTTACGTTTGCTCGTAGTGTTACGGCTAAACGTCATATTGCTGCGACACTGTGACATCATTCAAATTCTACTCGTGTCGCGTAATCAAGCGTGTTATATTATCAGTGTGTTATTGTTGCAGCCTGGCATATCTCGGGGCCACATCCCCAGTGGCCGCGAAAACATTAACGCTACCCTTCAAAGAGGTCAATTCAAAAGCACACAGTTTTACGAGGTAGATGATTTATTACAACTATTCGTGACGCGCGAATACGCAAAACGTTATTGTTGTACGCGCTTTATAATTGTACATGCATTATATTTCTGCTCTAGATATTGTCAGCACTATAACCTGTCTAACCTTGAAGTCAGTGAAGTGTGTGGGCGTAGGGGTGAAATTCCTGTAACTTATGTAACTACATACGTGTTTGCCACGTGCACACCAAACCAGTAGAGCAGCTCATTCAATCGAATTTCGTGGTCCATCGATGCTAGTTTACAAACGCCGTCGGTTCCCGTAACGTGGGCATATGTTCCCATGAAACAGAGTATCGCGCGTGAGACCGTCCAGAGTACGTCAGTGTGACGTCAGTGGCTATCTATACACCGATAGATAATGTTTGGGATACCATAGATAGTATATAAGATAGCCGAGTCGGTTTATAGTTAGTGTTAGAGTTAGGGTTGGGGTAGGGTTATGATTAGGGTTTTGCATCATTCCTTGATATACGGAAAGTCTGATGCGGAAGTTGATATGCGTAGTATGGAATATGACCATGCGCAGAACCAACAGCACCATCAGCAGGCTGTATGCATTCAACTTCGGAGATAGCCGAGTTCGTGCGTGACGTACACTGACGTCACGCCGGTACTCTGTTTCATGGAAACATATTCCCGGACCTTTCCGTAACGTGACGTCACTCCTCAGGTGCGTACGAGCGACCAACCGGAACGCGATCCGGTCGGGCGTCCCATGGTGCATCAGTCTGCATTGAGGCAGGCTACTGGGGAGCTGCGTTACATTGATGATATCCCAAAATACGCAGGTAACCGATATGGTCGGCAGGGCATAACTTGGGGGGGAGGGGGTGTATGCGCTTCCGTCTAATTTTGGAAAAAATATAGTCTATAAATTATATAGTATATTCCTTTTAAGATCAGCGTAAAATACTTATGTAGGTTGTCGTTTTTTGAAACCTCGGCCCAACTCACCCAGGGTCAACACGAGGTACGTGAGTTGGGAGCTGTGCCGCTCTCTTCTCGCGTCTCTCTCTCTCATCTCTCTCTCTCTCTCTCTCTCTCTCGCTCGTTCTCCTCTCTCTCTCTCTCGCATTCGCTCGCCTCTCTCTTCTTCCCCCTTCTCTCTCTTCCCTCTCTCTCTTTCTCTCTTTCTCTTCTCTCGCTCTCTCTCTCTCTCTCTCTCTTTCTCTCTCTCATCTCTCTTTCCTCTCTCTCTCTCTCACGCGCGCGTTCTCTCTCGCTCTCTCTCTCTGTCTCTCTCTCTCTCTCTCTATATATATATATCGTCATGACACACCTGAGTCTGGCTGTGTCTGATCACCTCGCTGTAATTTTAATCGCTTGACACAAACGGTATTTTGACACGTTACTACAAGTAACTGGGTGCGTGCGTGCGTGCGTGCGTGCGTGTGACTGAAGTTAGTTATGCCATATGTTATCTAGTTATCGACAATCGAGTTGCGTGTGACTATATATTATTATAATTACAATACATATATATAGGCCTCTCTCTCTCTCTCTCTCTCTATATATATAGTTAATACTTAACTATATATATCATGTAATGGTTGTGCATGTTATGCTTGCTTATGATGAACTTTACTTGGGACTTGTCCTCAGCAGTAAAGCGCACGCGACAATTGTGTCAGTAGACAAGAGCCAAGCGATGAAGGTGCCTGGAGGTGGTAGCATTTGTCGATTACAGAGACGTTCCAGGTAGCAACAAAACTGGAGCCATCTTGAAGGATGAAGAGGTTTTTGCCTCACACGAGGTGTGTGATAATAATGAACGGAGACATATCTCCGTGGCGTGGTAGTCTATTTCGTCAGATTGTTTATTTTTTCCCGTGTGTTCACTACGTGCTTAAACAATATTTACTATGTGGCGCGTGTAACTCAAGTTAGTGATAAAAATTAATTGCAAATAGGCAATGTTATAAAGACTTTACATAATAACAAAACTATTGCAGCGCCCAGAATTGACTAGAGTTCTGGCCGTCGGTGCATATCGCGCATTATTATTATTATTATTATTATTTTCATTATTATTATTATTAATATTATTGTTGTTGTTGTTGTTGTTGTTGTTGTTGTTGTTGTTGTTATTGTTACCATCATCATCATCATTATCAAGCAGCAGCATCATCATTATCGTCATCGTCGTCGTCGTCAACCTCATCATCGTCATCATCATCATCATCGTCNGCTATGCTGGACAGTGGTCAGTTCGGGAATGTAGGCGGCCGATATGAGCACGGGATATTTACAGTCTTTGAACTTCATCTCAACACCTGTAAGCAATTGTTAATGTGTCACAAGGGTATTTACTGTCTTTGAACTTCATGATTCTCAACACCTGTAGACAATAATTGTCAATATGTAGGGGGATTTGCGCGTGTCGAATGGATTCAAGTTTGCCCAGATATATTTAACGAATTGAGACAGATTCATTATTTTCTAACGAAATGTATAATCAATATGTAATTTGAAACAATCAGGTGGAATTTCTTCCAATAACTTAATGGGGTTAAATGCATTAAAATCTTGCAGCTCTCAGAGGACTTCGACAAAGAATTACTGATGTTTAAAAAAGACCAAGTGACGTGGTTCAGGCCTGTTTGCTTACAACAGCTCCTCGAATTGAAGCTGGAACATCCCGAAGGAAAAATTGTCGTTGGGAACACGGAAGTCGGTACGAAAGACACGCGCGCGAACAACAAGAAACCAAATGGTTTCAGTTATCACAAAGCAAAAAGTACAGAATGACATAACCCCCTTCACTATCATTGCTATTCTTCATTATGCAGGTGTCTCGCGTTCTTCCACATTTTAATGCTTACTGTTATGAATTTAAATATAGCTTCTGAAATGTAAAATACGCCGTAAAAGTGTAAAAAATTTAATTAACCGCTATCTTGGCATTCTATCGTGGTGT